TCTGTATTAATACTACATGAACTAAACCTCATTCTATTCTCTATTTCATCACAAATTATTCCTCGGGTCTTTTCTTCAGATACTGTTACTTTCCCATGGTATTTACGTGTGTGAATTTTCCAATATGAATTTTTCTTAAAAGTGGTCCCGCAAATATTACATTGTATTTTCTTTGTTCGAATAACATCTTTTGTCTTTTGACATGTTTCACATGCATAAACATAACATCTTACATCGTTTTGAAGCCCTGGCCAGTAAAATCTTTGCCTTATATTATTGAGAGTTTTTCTTATACCTAGGTGCTTTGAACTTTTGTGATTCTTTGCCAAAACTATATGTCTTAATTCATAAGGAACAATGGCTTGCCAATAAACAACTCTAGAACCTAATGTTTCCCATCTTCTAACTAATAGATTATCACGAATCTCTAATTTTGACCACTGACTCCAAAGTGATTTCAAAAAGAAATTTTTATTTAAGATCTCCTGATATTCTGGTCTGTATCCATTTCCTATCCATGTTTTTATCAACTGTATATTTTCATCTTCTTCTTGTGCACATTTTAAAATTTCACAAAAATTGTCTGTATTCTGATACCCTGAAGTAATCGTGAAAACATAGTCCTGAACCTCTGAATCATTATCATTGCCGTATTGTCTAAACTTTATTCCACTTGAGCGGTCTGTATTTTCAAAATTTTGTTTTCTATTTGGGCAAGTGTATTGAATATGACCTTTGTCACCACAATTAAAACAATCCCGAGTATCAGTTGAATATGTTCTGGTTGAATCTTTGTTATTGAAAGTATTTCTTTGATTCCTATATCTAAATTTCTCTTCTTCTGTGCACACATACTCTTTAGATATTTCTTCTTGGAAAGAATCAAATCTTTTGTTTAGTTCCTCAACGGATCTAATCAACTTTTCTATAACACTATTGTATTTCATATTGTTTTGGGCTTCATTAGAATTTGAAGATCTATAACTACCCTGCTTTTCAAAATGTTTTCGTTCAGCCCGATAAAAAGATTCTAATTCAACTGCATGTCTAACAGCGTCATTTAAATTTAATTGTCTTGCTTGTTTTATTCCTTAACGCATGTCTGAATTAAAAAAGGGATCAATAATTTTTTCTTTCGCTAATGATTCTTTTACATCACCAGGGGCTGAAGGATATGCCAAATTTGTTTAACGTCTTATACCTTGGGCCATTTCTGATAAAGTTTCTGTGGCTTTCTGGCGTCTTTCCCGTAATTGTGCTCTATTGAGTTCTGTCTGATTTTTGGGAGCAAATCTCTCTTGAAGTGCATTGACTAATTCTGTATAACTACTTGAATTTCCTAAATTACCAAAGATACCTTGAGCCATTCCTCTCAAAGATACAGCAAGATAGAGACCCTTTTGTTTATATGACCATTTATTGATTTCGGAACAAGCCTCAAAATGAGCTTTGTAGTCTATCCAAGACCCGGTGCCATCAAATGTAGCTGGTTTCATAAATACAGAAGACCTATTTGAATTAATTTTAGTGGAAGTATCTGATTTCATATTTTCATCGTATATTTCTCTTTGGGATTTTCGTCTTCTTGTCACATGTCTATCCCATATTTCCGGACTTAAATCTCTGTCTTCTTGTTCATTTTTGAAAGTATTACTTTGCGTTTTACTATGAGTCATAGGAGTTGAAAATCTAATACGTGGTTCAGAATTCAAAAATGTGTTTGACAACTGCTCTCGTTTTTCTATTATTTTTCTTTCAGGGATATGCGGCAATTGTCTTTTTGTCTGAGAACGAAAAGATGTATTAGGACTAATATTTCTAGGTGTCTGAATAGTTGAAGTAGTTTGTAACTTAAGCAATTGTTTTTCTAAAAGCTCTATTTCGTTTTGCATTCTCAAACTTTCATTCTCTTTTCTCAACATATCTATCTCTTTGAGATAAACAGACAAATCTTCAGGATTTCTAGCCTCAGCCATAATTCTTAAAAATAATTACGTCAATATAAAAATTTCAACGAACGCAGGTAAGTGATAATGTTATTTTATCCAAAAAAAAATCTATTTGAAATCTATCAAATTAGATATATCCCACCTTCGCTGCCACCAATTTTGTAGCGTGTACCGAGCTGTTGATTAATTATTCAAGTGCTACAAAATAAAATGATTTTAAACCACAAGATTCTCAAATACAAATATATAATTTTTCTTGGGATACTTATCCGAAATGATTTAAAATATTTTATATAAATTTTCCTTCTGGTTTCTTAACCTTTTGATTATATATTAACTTAATAAAAACTCTAGAAATTATAAAATGCAAAAATAACAATCTTCAACTAATACTTGAATCATTCAAAATATATATTTCAAAAAACAATAAAACTCTATTTACTCTTACTTTCAAACAAACTAAAATTTACATTCCTAAACCTATCTCCTATTTCTAACTTTTATATTTCAAATCAACAAACTCTTATCATAAAACGTTCAAGAACTCATTCTTCTAATAATGTTTTCAATTAAACTCTTCTCTATCAAACACTTGTCCAAGAGGTTTTACTTAGGCAATAAGGTATTTTTAGCACCAGTATCTAAGATGCCTGGCTACTAGTAAATACAATATTACCTATATCCAACTCTTGCAAGGACAACAGGCAGACTAACTATTTAAATCATAGAAGTAAAGATATTTTTAGCACCAGTATCTAAGATGCCTGGCTACTAGTAAATATAATTACAACTTAACGGTCCGGAGCCAAAACCAAATCTAAATTAAAATATCTATTTCTTAAAATATTTATGCCCAAGGAATTTTACAGAAATCATAAAACGTCCTTAGTACCAGAAATCTGAGATTTTTTGCGTACCAGTTAGTATTTATGAATTCGTTTCCACTCTCCAACGGACAGGACCAGACTGAATTTTTTACACTGAAATCGCTCTATTTATATGCCTGTGAAGCATCATCTCCGCAGTGAATAAAAACAATGATTTTGATTGGCTAAAATAATAAAACGTTTCTTGAAACTGATTTTAACTAAACCTTATAAGCGTCTGTTAATAGAATTGACTTTTCTTACAAACTATTTTGAGTAACAGATAAACAATTTCAAATATAAACACTTTGATGGATACCCTAAAATTATACACATTTGACAGTAAAAATACCTACTCTTTAAATCATGTCAAATTTAATAGATTACTTTATTTATTTATTTTTTTTAATACAAATGGCGATCTTATAGAAAGGGGAGGCAATCAAATTAACTATAAGGTACATTTCCGTCACAGAAGTAAGGAAAACCTAATTGAGTCACACATGGCCACAGTGTTTTGAACATTATATATAAGAAAGGGTAGTCTTATAAAGTCACAAAAGCCCACAGTATATTGAGTATTCTATATAAGTAAGGGAAGCATAACTGACTTACACATGGCCACAGTATATTGAACCTTTTATAAGTAAGTGTAGTCTAATAAAGTCTCACATGACCACAGTACCTAAAACATTTCATATAAGTAAGAGAAACCTATTTGAGTCACACATGGTCAATGTATTGAACATTATTTATAAGTAAGGAAAACTTTATTATTATATATTAATTGACTATTGTACTGAAGATGGGTTGAATCTCAACACAATGTTCTGCTTTATAATTTAAAGTGTATTTTATTTATTCAGTGGAATATCACAAACAATATGTATTATATGCACAGGTTATTCTGATGTTAACAAATAGATATTAAAACAGTAACAATTATTTTACAGTGGAAAGTCACAGAGTTATTGCTTGAAAATCTGAAGCCTTACTGTTCAATTTTTGTATCTTTACTGAATTTCTAAATTGGATTCCTTTTACACTGACCAATATAATTTTACCAGCTTTTAATGTCTCTTAAATAACAAAATGACCGGTCAGGTTTCAATAAAAAAACAAGGTAACATAGCAAAATGGAATTTATATAACAACAATTATCACCAGTGCATTTTATCAGTCAAAAGGTAGAGCAGCATGCCTCCAGATTCCCCGGGTGTAGATTTTCCAGGGTAAGCCTGGAAGAGAGGCTGGTAAACCCTGGAAAACTATGGAAAAGCATGGAATTTCATGGAAATTAATGGAAAATTGGTATTTTTTCCATGCTATGTGGACTTTTTTTGTCCAGCCATTTCCAGCATTGCTGGAATAGGCTGGAAATTGGCTGGACATTTGTGGTAAAAGCCTGGAAAACCATGGACTTTACTTCCCATGTAGCATGGAAAGTGGAACTTAGATTTTTTGATGCTGGAAATGTGTTAAACTTTCTCTAAGTATGCTGGAAAAAACTTGTAAAAAAATTTACAGAAATCTTACTTTATATATTCAGCACAATATTGTAAACTTACGAAGAAAATATACAATCATCATTTATTTTAATGCAAGTTACTGTAAATGATTTGAAATTGACACTTTATACTTTTTATGTAGTTGAAAAAGGGTATCTCATAAAAAAATGTCTATGCTAAAGACATAAATGAATTGATTGTTCAAAATACATATTATTATTTAAATAAATCTACATGAAGTTATGTACAATGAAATAATATCCATTTTAATTACAGGCTTTAAAGTTTAACTATAAATTAATTAAAGTCTGTGATTAAATCATTCAGACACTATAATAATCAAGATGATAGGGATTGCATTGCTTGCCATTTTTAAATTGTAAGAATTCATGTTTTTGGATAACAATAAATAAATAAACAAAAAACAGTGCATGAAAGAATCTCATATATATTCTATATTAAATTGACCAATATTTAGGAAAATAAATACTACATCCACTGAGATTTTATGCTACACAGATCAGAGCTCTGATAAAACTCATTGACCAGCATTTTCTAACCATCTGTGCAATGACTAATTTACTCCACTGGTCATTTCAGATCAGGCTGTTCCATGTGATTATTTTGGGGAGAGATAACATTATAAATTTCATATGAAGAATGTGTTAGAAGGACATTGCAATCTTTTTTGTACAAAAATTTGTAATGATCTTTAAAATCTATATATCAATTAGCTATTTCATATTTTCTTTCACGCTCAAAGAATATAAGTTAAAATGATGAGCAGATTAACCCTGCTTTACATAATGATAGACCTGTCCTGAGTAACTGTTGTAAATTTTGAATTCTAAGATATCTGGGTCAGCAAAGAGTGCATTGAAATTACAGAGGATGTACTTGATATTTTAGCAGTTTTGGAGATATTGTTTTGTTTAAGACTTTAAAGTGTTTAAGTATTGGTATGATAACAATAAGAATCACCTGGGAAAAGGAGATATACAACAGAATCAGGTATTTATAAACCTTAAGTTACATCAATGCAGAAACAGGTTATATATCAAACTATCAACATTTGTAACAAGAGATCAAGGTTGTTTTTATATTTTTCAACTTCATGCATTTGTTTTTTCTGATAATTGTTTTTAATCTATACATGTATAATCTTTAAAATATAAATTATTCAATGATTTCTTTATAATGTATAATTGTTAAAATGACAATTGTTAGTAGATCTTTTTCATTTCCTACAAATAAAACAAATTAAATCAATTTGATTAAATAGGACTAAATGGTACAATCAGTAGTTTTTGAACAGCTGAACAGGGTCATCATAATCATTTGTTATTTCCATGTATGTGTTGTGTTTTCAAATGGAACAATCTAAAATTACATTTTACATTATACAATTACATAACTTGCAGGCTGGGACATAAGTGCTGACTGTGAGAATTACCAACAGTGTTTAATAATGATGTGCAGTATTAATCCTGAAAAGGTATATTTTTAAATCTCAAATACGACTGTACTTTTTTATTCCATGTCTTTTCTTGAAAAAAATAAATACTGGGTGATAAATATTGTCACAAATTTACTTAATTCTTATACATGTACAGAGAAATTCTTAAACACTTGTGCACTTTGAAATAAGATATACTGCATGCTTTAGTATTTTTGAATATGCATAAGCATAGTTAATATTTAATAGTTAATACATTTGAAACATTAGATTTGATGTTATTAAAAGATACCAAATATAACTGCAAAATATTTATATGCAATAAAACATAAGTCATTACACATCTGTGTTAAATTTATTATGAATTTTATCTTTAAAGGTGAGCACAACCACAAGAAGTTCTAGGAAACATAGGTAGAGGACTGAAAATGGACATCAATATAAGAAATAGTAATTTAAATAATCAGAAACACTTGAAACAAATCTAAGATTAAAACAGTTTATCATTGACAGATTAAGAGCAAAATAATTGCTAAAATTTATACGACAACCAGAAAACTAGCTATCAAACCTGCAGCTAGAAAAATAACTGTTTGTTGCTATAGTGAATGTAGGATGTTCTATTCTGTATTTGGACTAAAAGGATATGTATTAATTTTGTGAAAGAAATATGTGATCAATGTTAAACTAATAAAAATTCCACCCCAAACATTCCTGTGCTGAATCTTCTTCAGAGAATTTTAATTTTAAGAACATTCAGGGATGCTGGAATTGGCTGGATTTTTTCCATGTTATTCATCAAGGCTGGACTATTTACCATGGTAAAAAGTCCAGCCTCTATGGTTGGCAGACACATGGAATACCCTGGAAAAAAATCCATACTTTTGTTCCAATACTCCATGTACATGGAAAAGCATGGAATAAAGTCCATGCTTTTCCATGGAAAACATGGAAAATGTTCCATGCAGCATGGAAAATGTTCCATGTTTTTTCCTTGTTTTTCCAGCCCATTTTTTCTCAGCTTCAGGCTGTAAAAGGCTGGAAAATTTTGTTCCAATACTCCAGCCTCTTATTTTCCATGGAAATCCCTGGAAAAGCATGGACTTTTTACACCCGGGTCATGTTAATTTTCATGAAAATTTTGAAAATGTATTTGAATGTTTAATATTGTGAAGTAATCAAAAGGAAGCAATTTACACATTATCAGTAGCACTTACAAACCATGTAAGTAACCAAAAAGTGGTCAAAATATGCATAAATATAAGCTGAAAAATCAGTCATTAATTGCACATAATATGTAAAATATTACTTGAATCTTGAAACTTTACTTTTCCTTACATTTCAGTACCTTTTTCTAAAGTTTGATTTAATTGAAATATTTTGACTCATCTGGAGGCATGCAGCTTTAACAACTTAATGAGTACAGACAGCTTAATTGACATTATCACCTAAATAGCACAATTGATTGTACATTAAGTGGAAAAGCCACATTTAGTCTTATGGTTACATAATTATTAATCTGACATCTATTATTAAAACATATAATATTTGTACCTTAAAATATATGAAATTTCACACATTTTTATGAAAATATGGCCTTTTTTAGAAAATGATAACATTAATAAGTTATTGTTTTTAAAAGAAAGTAATGACTCAAATAAAGAATTTCATCAGTTTCTGTCTGCTGCACAACTTAAGAAAGGAAAATATATTTCAGCCACACATGGCCACAGTAAATGAATTATAAGATTTAAGTAAGGGAAACATATTTCAGTCATCTAAAGCACATTATATAATAATAAGTAAGGGAGCACTATAAAGTCATACATGGCCACAGTATATGGAATATTATATACAAATAAGGGAAAATTTTTGAGTCACACATGACCACAATGAAAGGAGCATAATATTTAAGCAAGAGAAACATATTTGAGTCACATATGGCCACAGTATATGGAACATTATATAGAAGTAAAGGTGACATTAAAGTGACAAATGGCCACAGTACATAAAAAAATAAAATCCACTTTAGTCACACCTAGCCACTGTATATCAACCATTGTATAGAAGTAAGAGTAGCCTAATAAAGTCACACATGACCACAGTATATAGAATATTCTATATAAGAAAGGTAAACCTACTTAAGTCAAACATGGCCGCACTAAATAGAACATTTTATATAAGTAATGGAAACCTTTTTGAGACACACATGGCCACTGTATATGGAACATTACATATAAGTAAAAGTAGTTTAATAAAGTCACACATGGCCACAGTATATAGAACATTCCAATCCAAATAGGGATGGGAAACCTATTTGAGTCACAAATGGCCACAGTATATGGAACAATATATATAAGTAATTATAGCCTATTAAAGTCACACATGGCCACAGTATAATGGAATATTATATATAAGTGAAGGTAGCTTATTAAAGTGACATATGACCACTGTATATAGAACATTCTATATATGTAAGGGTACTCTTATAAAGTCACACATGGCCACAGTTTATAAAACATCCTATATACATGTATGAAAGGGACACCTAATTAAGACACACATTGTCACTGTATATGGAATATTATATAAAAGAAAAGGTGGAATATTAAAGTGACATATGGCCACAGTATATGGAACATTATTAATTAGTAATGCTAGCCTTTAAAAGACATACATGGCCACAGTGTATAGAGCATTCTATTAAGTAAGGTTAACCTATTTGTGTCACACATTGCCACAGTATGTTGAATATTATATATAAGTGAAGGTCTATTAAGTGACATTTGGCCACAGTATTTAAAACATTCTATATATGTAAGGGAAACTTATTTTAGTCATACATGGCCAAAGTATATGGAACATGTTATAGAAGTAATATTAGCCTTATAAAGTCACACATGGCCACAGTATAAAGACAATTATGTATAAGTAAGGGAAACCTATTTGTGTCACACATTGTCAGAGTACATGGAACAATAAATATAAGTAACCATAGCATAATAAAGTCACACATGGCCATAGTATATAGAACATTCTATATAAGAAAGGTAAACCTGCTTTAGTCAAACATGGCCAGAGTAAATAGAACATTCTATATATGTAAGAGAAACCTATTTGAGTCACACATGGCCACTGTGTTTTGAACATTATATATAAGTAAGGGTAGTCTAATAAAGTCACACATGGCCACAGCACATAGAAAATTCTATATTAGTAAGGAAAACTTAATAAGTCACACATGTCCACAGCACACATGTCCACAGCACATAGAAAATTCTATATTAGTAAGGAAAACTTAATAAGTCACACATGTCCACAGCACATAGAAAATTCTATATTAGTAAGGAAAACTTAATAAGTCACACATGTCCACAGCACATAGAAAATTCTATATTAGTAAGGAAAACTTAATAAGTCACACATGTCCACAGCACATAGAAAATTCTATATTAGTAAGGAAAACTTAATAAGTCACACATGTCCACAGCACATAGAAAATTCTATATTAGTAAGGAAAACTTAATAAGTCACACATGTCCACAGTATATGGAACATTATATATAATTAAGGGAAGCTTATTTGAGTCACGTATTGCCAACAGTATATGAAACAATATATATAAGGAAGGGTGGCATATTAAAGTGGCATATGGTAGTATTTAGAACATTCTACATAAGTAATGGAAACATAACTGACTCACACATGGTCATAGTATATGGAATATCATATAGAAGTGAAGGAAGCATATCAAAGTGGCATATGGCCACATTAAATAGAACATTCTATATAAGTAAGTACACCTCAATATATGGAACATAGTATCTAAGCAAGGTAAACCATTTTCCATCACTTATGACAACAGTGTATGGGACTTTAAATACGAGTAAGGAGTACTACTATGGGTCATACATAACCATTCTATATTAAATGTTTTATATCAAATTGTAAGTCTCTTATTTTAAACATTAACTTTATGAAATATGCCCCTGTTTCTTGATGAAATCTGCTCTTTCAGTTTCAAAATCTGAAAAAAAGAAAAGAAGTACAATGTAGTTTAACTTATTTACAAAAATACATTTATGCTTTGTGATGTATTTGTTAAATTGATATAAATGAATATCTTTGGATTAAGACTACCATAGACAAAAACGAACTTTAAAGTAAAGTTTGCAAGGTTCAATTAGTTTTCAGGAACCAAAAAAAACAAACAAAAAAACAACATGGGATTATGCCTGTTTATATAATCTTTTATTTTTTGGAAGGTTAACTTTCAATTCATAATGAGACAATTTGCCTTAGTGATGGTGTTCACTTCAGTTTTTCTCAATTCACCATCAACAAAAGGATACTGATCACCAGTTACCTAAGAAGTATTGCAAATTTATAATGTAAATGGGTAAAAATTAATATTGAACACTTTATAAATTTTTGTGAAAATAATATACCTTTTATTGTCTTTTAAAGGATGTTGCATAAAATTCAGGGTGTTCACTAGTCATGAAATCCTGAGGGTCACTTTGACTAAGTTTTACTGACTTCAAGGCCAATCTCCATGATTTTAACAAAATTTGACCCTCCAGTTAAAATCCTGATGGCCAAATCAGGCTTTTTGTAAATTTGTAGGGTCAAAGAGTCATTTCAAGGGTCAAATGGACACAGTCATGTAGACAGTTTCATATTCATTTTGTTTCACTTATTAAATGAATTTAAGGGCTAAATGCATTAGTGTTTTTTTTGTTTTTTTTTTCAAAAAAATATTCTTTTGTCTGTTTTTAGTTTCTGTTTTCTGGTTTTAAATAATTTTCACAAACTGAACACTAATTGCATTGTCGGTTATCCATGGTATATATATTGTACATATTACATTATCTACTGTGGGTTAATCAACCATTTCTTGTCGTTTTGGCCCTAAATTACCTAAGACATTTAACTTACACAAACCATTTGTGATGCTCTATTTCTTTCAAATTTTATCAATATAAAAAACACCCTTTTAAACTTTTTAGCCTGTTGTTCCTAGATATTTCATTAGAGGGGAACGTACTTCTTCAGTTCATCATGCTAGAATTATAAACTAATGCAATAACTTAAATGCAGATTCATTATTGAATCACTTATGTCAAAATCCTTTCTGTGTCTGTGGTAGTGGAATGGAAGATGCTAAGCACTATTTTTTCAAATATTTAAACCATTTCAAACAGAACAAAGACGCAACTTATTTTTAGCTACAAGACCTTTTCACCCCTTAAAATCAGCAATACTTTTATTTGGAAACTCATTACCTACTGATGTTGAAAATAGATGTTTTATGAAAAGTACAGAAATTTATTAAACATTGTGAATGATTATGACAAAATTGATAAATATATATCAAAATATAATAGCCTAAGACAGTAATATACAAGTAACAACCAGATCAGGATTCGAACCTGAGACCTTCCTATAACCATGTCTATACAAAGTCTAGGCTGCTCTACCAACTGAGCTATCTGGTTTAACTTTTAATTATATTTGATTTTTTCTTATTCCAT